GGCGCGAAGGAACAGATTGTCGTGCTCATGTGATGACACGAAGTTAGATATATCACATCTTGCACTATCTATCTAGAAGACAACTATTAGATCTCTCTTGATTTCTCTTATTTATATATATATAGACATACATCTTCTCGGGCTGTCCATCATGAACTCTGATACTGACCCCTTTCTCCAAGTACAAGCGTATGTCATTATGACCACTTCTATCAAGGGAATCAACAAATCTAACCGAGTATCTATAGAGACATCCTATCTACTCTCTCTACGACTCGTCCGCTGTTCTCCTCATACCAACGTATCCGATCTCTGGCAACCTCCCCGTCAAGTCCGGAACTTATCCAAGCCCGTGAAGAGCTCGAGGCAACAGTCGCAGACCTCAGCGCAGACCTAAAAGACCTCGTCGAGAGCGTGCAAGCTATCGAATATGATCCCTACAGATACGGCCTGGAGCTCGACGAGGTCGAACGACGTCGAAAACTGGTGGATGATGTAGGCAAGGAGATCGAGGAGATGCGTGAGGAGCTTCGGCGGACCGTACATGAGAACCCGGGAGCGCCGGGAGCGGTTGGCAAGAGAACAGCTGGCCCCGGAGCCGGAACAGGGCTTCCTGCTCCGTCTACGTTTGATAACCTGCTTGATGAGGATGGGCAGGATCGCGGGGAGGATTATTACTCTGAGATGGAGCAGCAAAGGCAGGTTGAGCTGATGCAGGATCAGGACCAGCAGCTCGACGGGGTGTTTAGGACGGTGGTGAATTTGCGGCAGCAGGCTGATGATATGGGGAGGGAGCTGGAGGATCAGTCTGAGATGCTGAAGGATGTTGATACCCTTGCTGAACGGGTGGGTGGCAAGCTACAGGATGGTGTGAAGAGGGTTGGACATATTATCAAGAAGAATGAAGGTAAGCCTTTTCCTAGATTCATACGTTACGGGTGAGAGACTGATATGAAAAAATAGATACCATGTCGAGCTGCTGCATTGCGGTATTGATTATGGTACTGATCCTGCTTTTAGTTCTGGTATTAATCCTCTAATATACACCAAGATCATATGGTTACAAAACGAAATATGGAAAAGAAGGAGACAGCGACAGTTTAGGCCTTCTTAGCCTTCTTGCGAGGCCTCTCTTCCTTTTCTTCCTCTTCGTCTTCGTCTTCATCCCCAGCAACAAGAGCTTCCATCTCCTCGACATCGAGATCCTCGAAATCTTCAAAGTCATTGGGGACCATGTACGAGTCAACTATTACGTTGTCAGTGGGAGGAAAGCAAGAGAAAGGCTAGAGAAAAAAGACGAGCTTACCATAGCACTGAAGAGCTTCGGGCCAGACCTCTTCACTAAACGCAATGGCAACATTTTGACCGTCAGCGAAGATCTCAGCAATGGCTAAAGAGTCCTCTTCGTCTTCTTCCTCGTCATCGTCGTCATCGTCGTCTCCTGGGACCTTCTCGCCCTTGCGCATCTTCTCCGTGGTCTCCTGGTCCTCCTTCCTGGCGGCCTGAGACTCCTTCTCAGAAACATCAGCGCCACGGTATCCGAACCAGGCGAAGAAGCTCAACCCAGCAGGGCTAGTGCCATCTTCGTCGCCGTCTTCCTCTCCTTCGTTATCGGGAGCAGCATCGGCCTCTACCTTGGCTGCAAGTTCGACCAGCTTCTCGAACTCGGGCAGGTTCATGCGCTCATCCTCGCTGATTTTTTCCTTCTTCTGCTTCTTGAGGAAAGCCTTCTCGGCATCTGCCAGGTCGCACGCAGCATCCAAGAGACCATGGGTGGGGTCCATGTCTTTTTTCCACTGGATGCGCACGGGTTCAGACACCAAGCCTTCCCAGACACGACGTTTTCCAGCGGCAGTGATCTTGAGCTCCCTGCGCCAATGGAAGTCCTTGACAAGCTTGGCATTCTCGAACCACACATTGGCGTCACCAGTGTCGAATTCGAAGGTGAATCGCAGAGATCGTGGCTCTCCTTCACCCTTCTCGTCGATGCCGATGCGCTCGATGTTCAGGTTCTTCAGACAGGAGTTGAAGATCTCAGAGTCGGAGGGAAGGATGAACTCGTCCACCTCAGCGGGGAGGTTAGAGAAGACGCGAGGCCAAAAGCCATGTTCCTGCAGCTTGGATGCGATCAACTCGTTGCGTTTGGCGTAGACAGGGCGCATAATGTTTACGCCCACACGCACTGCCCAGACATTAGCATCATCTCAACCAACGGAAGTAGGGAATAGATAGAATGAATAATTGAACAAGACTAGCTTACTGTGTTCGACTTGTGCGTCTGCAATCTCATCCTGTAGCAAGGTCATATCGCGCTCGAGTTCCTTGGGGAGCTGCCTGGCGGGCATCTCTACCCTCTCGAGCAGCGGAACCTGGTCGTCTCCGTTGTCTGCCATGTTTTCCGATCGCGTACGTGAGTAGATGGCGATGGCCTTGACAATGGATGGAAAAGAGGGATGAAGATGAAGTGGATGAAGAAGTGGAAGCTGGCGGATGGAATTTTCTTGCTGCAAAAATATTGACTAAGCTTGAACTTGGCGGGTTTTAGCTCGGAGATAGCAAGATGAACAGAACAGAAGACGATAAAGAAGAAGATAGTATTGATTGTAGATGGAACTTTTGATATGTAGATTAATAGATCATTCCTGCTTATAGGTATCATTACTCTGTGGTATGCTCATAAGTATAGCATCACAGCATCCAGTCAAGGCCATTGGCCTCCTCCTCGACCGGAAAGGCCTCTCGCGCATACTCCTCCATGCTCCTCCATCCCTCCCACAGGCTGCGCGCCTCCTCCACGACAGGCAGTGGGATGACACCGTCCGGCCCTGGCTCAAGAGACGTCCGTGCAGGAGTATGAAACTCTGGGTTCGGGAAATACGGCGCTTTCATCTGTCCGAACAGGACCTCGATGCCTTCTAGCTGTTCGCGGTAGCCGGAAGGGATAGAGACTTTGATTTCATCTCTAGGACACCATTTGTACCTGCAGGGTCGTTGGAGGGCACGAA